ATGTATCTTTTTCTCTATGTAAAATATCTATATTAGTTTTATCTATATTACAATTATTTAAAAGACAATGTTCATGAAAGACAGAATTTAGTCTCTGATATTTTAAATCAGCTATATGTTCTTTCAATCCTACTTTAACTTTACGTTTAGTTTCTCCACTGTAAAAATTAGTATTATCACATGTACAGGGAATTTTATAAACAACATTTTTACTTTCTTCTTTATTTTCTATGTTTGTCTTCCCGAGTTGTTTTGCAATTAGTCTAGATTGTAGCTTTTCGTGTTTCAGTACTAATCTTACGTTAATTTTTTTGATTTCTTTATTAATTTCCTCATACAAGAATTTTATGTAAGAAAAAGTAATGTACTTTATGCCCCCTTGTTTAGGATCTATTTTTATTTTTTTTTTAATCTATTTTTTTGTCTTTCTTTTTCCCAAGCACTAAGAATTCTATTTTGGTATTCTGAAAGAATGAATTTTTTCTTTAGTGCATTTATATGTTCAATTTGTTTGGTATTTATACTAGTTCTATTTTTGATCTTAGTGTATTCCACATCAAATATATTTTGTTTCAAATATCAAATATACTTCGTTCGGTATGCTTGTCATAGATCTGTCTAAATGTTAATTCTCAACAGAAGTGTGTGGAATTTGCAGTGCCAGAGTGTGTTCTTGCGATTAATTGTTGTCAAGTACATTCATAGTGTTTCTGAAGTACAAGGTCATGACAATGTATTAAAGAGACTTTAGAGGAATATGTAATGTGGAATATATAGGTATGTTTTTAAATAAAAAAATTTTTTGTTATATAATTTTATAGTTTGCGTATGTGCTATGTATACTCCTATAATATTTCAGTTGGCTGATGAGGGGCTTGATAACCTGAAACGTGTATAATTTCACACGTATCAACTGAATAAAAAATGAGAAAACTGCCAAGTGTCTTAATTTATAACACTCCATTGTGTTTGAAGCAACAAAGTTTGAAGCATGGTTTCAGATTATATCAAAATAAATAAATGTAGTAAGAAAGTATATATGTAATAATAAAAATACATATATAAACAGTCTTGCATTTTTATTAGTCACAATTTTTCTGTTTGTCGGGGTTAAAGGATCTGTCTAATGTCGATTGCTTTTCTCTCTTCTTCAGGATTTTTCAGAAGTAATTAATAGCATTGTCATTGTAGAGATCCACAAGCCTATTAACTTCAACCTGGTTTGGATGCTATTCTAAGACCGTTGTTCTGACATCCTTCCACTTCAAAAGATCTTTAATAGCAGATGTCAGCATTAATCCTCTTTTTCAGAAGAAAAAGCTATCTTGCAGAGTTTCTTGATGTTTTTCATTCAAGAGTTCTTGGCATTCTTCTGTGTCAGATCTGTTTCAGGTTCCATTATGAGCTCTTCAATGTTCTTTATTTCTCTGATGTAATTTTTGTTACTCCTTTAGCTGCTTGAGTCTTCTTGATTATACTGTATCTTTCTTAGATAAAATTGAACTGCCGCCTACTGCAGACCTGTTCAAGCCATACTGCCTAGCAACATTAGACATCTTCTGTCCACTCTCTACCTTTGCAATTATACTCTCACCTTTCGAAAATAAAAACCAATGCAAAACTTAATGAGTGCCCACCCGAAAATCTCGCAAATACAGTAGAACCTCGAAAACTCGGCCTAATGTGGACCAAAGGGTGGCCGAGTTTGTGAAAATGCCGGGTTATCGGGAATGGGGTTCAAAAAGGATAAGTAGGCGTGTTTCCTCAGAAAATAGTGTACTGTACTTGTATGTATTGTTTGCTGGATAATATAACAGAGAATAAACTGCCCAAATACCCTTAAATAAAGGAAAAGTACGTACTTTATGAAGGTATAGAGCCTGTACTACATGAAAATGAAAATTAATGAATATACTGTGTACAGTAATTTACCTGATAAGACAGACCTCAGAAAAATACTTTATGAGAGCTTTTATACTTTTATAAAGCTGCCTATAATGAAAATTAATTAACTAAGGATTTTTTTGCCCTGTCAGTGTGTGGCCGGGTTATCGAGAGCCGAGTTTTCGAGGTTCTACTGTACTATTAAAAATTGTTTCTGTCAGAAAAATAAAAGGCTGGAATTACAAGGGTCAGTTTCAAAGTTTGGAGGAATACTATCTGATCAGTATATAGTGGATTGAATGTTGATATCAACATCTCCATGCTCTGAAAAGTTTCGAATTGCTGCCTGAAGACAAGGGAAGACCAATCAGTATTCATTATTTTATGTTACTACTACTAGTGTTTGTTCTGTGAGGTGTTTGTTGTCCAAACATAAAAATCTTTTGCGAAAGTATTTGTTATCCAATTTGTTCATTAACTGATAACCCACTGTATTCTAAATTCACTAATTTAATTCTAATTATTAATCTTAATAAAAGATAATGATGTGGTTGTTCTTAATGAGAAATTTGTAAGTCCACGAATAAATGTTACAAATAGGAACACAGGAACAAAAACGTGTATGATTGAATATTTCTTTAATGCTCTCCGAATGCAGTTCTTTTTTCTTGTTTTGTTACAAAGATCCCAACTTAACGGGTTCCTTTACCCTATTATCCTCACAGGGAAATAGGTCACCTCCTATTCTCGTACAAGTATATAATATACGTGTGCGTAACACAAAACCTTGATAACCGACTTAAAAACTAATCTTATGTCTAACTTAAAACTAATATAACAGGGAAACAATTAGACTTAGGAAAGTATAGAAAGTATAGAGAGATAAATACAGAGTAACTGGATCCACGTTGATTGTTCGATATCTTTGGGGAGGTGCCCTTTCACAGATGTGATCTTTTATTCTTCTTTACTGATTCAGCAATTTGTTCTCGAGGTTCTCCCTTCTTTCGGTTTTCCTTAGTCCCTTGTGCTTCTTCCTCTCTAATCTCGACAGTCCTCTCCTATACCTTTCAGTTTGAAGAATCTTGTTAAATGCAACATTGAGCATATGCATATTTTCACAATGTGCAAAAAATTTTTAAATTTTTGTTCTTTTAATAAGCATTCTATTAGTTCTATACCTGATGATGACTATGGAAAACAGAGGAAAACATTTGTTTTTTGCTCAAATTCTGCAAGCCTGGAATATATTATACAAAATAGCAATGAATTGAACATTAAAAGAAATTCCAGGATAATTAATTGCAAATTCGTTAATCAATTGCAATCTCTAACGTTTTCAATCTACTTAGGAGATCTTTCTCAGGATTTTTTAAATAGGAATGCGTAAATTGAAACGTTTTTAAAAATTATTTAAAAACATATAAATGATAATTTTTCAACTAATTCTTTTAAAAGTTTAAAATAATATTTTAAATCAATTAAATTGAATTTATTTCTCCAAAATAATTTTTATTACGCATTCCTATTTAAAAAATCCTGAGAAAGATCTCCTAAGTAGATTGAAAACGTTAGAGATTGCAATTGATTAACGAATTTGCAATTAATTATCCTGGAATTTCTTTTAATGTTCAAATCATTGCTATTTTGTTTGTTTTTTGATTAGTTAAATCTAATTCCTGCTGGTTGTTGGTAATTACATATTTTAGTTTGCTTTATACCAGTAATTTCGTGGAGATTGTCTTTAATGCATTTTTCAAGAGTGAGTGTGTCCTCTCTTTTCTCCAAATCCATGCCAATTCCACCATCACCAATCTTTCTTACCTGTTCTATGCCAATACATAAGGACGAAGGTTTGATTTTTTTCCTGGATCAACTTAGGAACAATATTACTGTTTTTATTTCCACCTTTCCTGATATCCTTAGGTGGCCACAGTTTCTTATTAGTAAATAAAATCAAAACCTTTAAATAATCCAGCAAATCGTTTTTTAATATGTTAAAAATGCTTTCGAACGCTTTAAGCGATCATCCTCAGTTATCATTTTGAATCGAACGAAGAATTCGAAATTACGTAAAACAAAATTCAAAATGCGGTTACATAAATGTACAATAACATTTACCAAGTTTAAATAATTGCAAAAATTATACAAGTTAATTAAATTGAAACAAAGAAATAAAATAAAATATATACATTCAGTAAAAATAATCTTAAATATTCTTCCTGCTTACATAAACTGCGTCAACTCATCGTAGAAGGATTTCCATGCCGATGACAATCCGTCAGCGTCCCTATGATTAATACGGTTTGTGTGCAACTGCACCTTGTGAATTTCTAGTTTTTCCAGATGTTTTATGGCCTGCCTGGATCTTGTAGCTTTAATGATCGACGCCCGATCCCAAAAGACCTCGATATTCTGTTGCTTGGCAAAGGCAGCAAGCACTGTAGAGTCTACATTTTTATTTACCGAGTGCTTATGTTCAGCAATTCTTTTCTTTAAGTTTCTCATGGTTGCTCCTATGTATACCAAATTAGAATTAAATCTACGGTCTTTTAACAGTATTGAGTATACCCCTGCCATCATGTTGTGTTTGTAAATGCCTTTATCGTTCCTTAAGAGCAGTAAGAGTTCGTAAGTGCCGTTATCGTTTCTTAGGCAGTGTCGTTTGAATGGGGTTTTCCCTATGTCAATTTATCGCATCAGACTTCCGTTGGATTGTCACAGTTTGTTGCCGAAATTGAAGAGTTTATGCCTCAATAAGGCCATCGGATGTACTAGATGCCTGTATTATAGATTGTTGCACCTTCTCATAAAGTTGAAAAATGATCTTTATAAGGAGAACCAAGCTCTTTTGAAGGAAGTTAATAGCAGGGTGATTGCATTATCTTACTCGTTAGAGAATAGGCTGAAATGCAAGTATATTAAAAAGCTAAAATGGCTATTCATGCGCCAGAATATTAAACTGAGGGTAAGAAAAACAGTGTTATTAACCGCTTGGGACAATATTTCTCCTCTGCAATGCTTGTTGAATGCTTTTGAATACGGTCCGTTTTGCTCCTACGCCAATAATACGCCCTGAGGACATCATACCGAATATTGAGATGCTTATAAAGAACATGAGCTTAACTATGCAGGATTACTGTAGATGGAAAACGAGATTCCAAGCCCAAAATGAGAAACAAAACAACAAAAACGTGTTACATTTTCAAAGGTGTAAAAAAGAAACAAGAGAATGGCTCAGAAGGAACGATGTTGTACTCTTAAAAGCGGACAAAACAAAGGGTATTGTGCTCATTAAGAGGGATTCATATAGAAAGAAATTGCATGAATGCATTAGTAGTACAGAAACTCTTATTGCACCGAATAATTTTTTAGAAGCTTTGCAACAAAGAGTGAGGAGATTTACGCTAACCCCCTTGGCGTGTCTTCTAGACATGGAGAGAACTGTTGTGCAGACCCCAAGAACACCAAGAATTTTCGCGTTCGGAAAGACGCACAAGCCAAGAACACAATTACACCCGGTTGTGGAGAAGTGTAATGCACCTACATTCAAGATAGAGAAACAACTGGTTAAGTTTATACGAAAAAATATGCAAGACTCACCTTTTTCGGTAAAGAATTCGGTGGAGGTACTCAGAAGGTTGGAGAATGTTATGCTTATGGATAATGAATGGATGACAGTATTGGATTACAAAGCTCTGTACCCGTCAATTAAATTACCTCCCTGCTTTTGCGCTCTCAGAGACTTTTTGTTAGCAAAAATTAGCAATTCGATGAAATACCACATGCAGATCTTAGAGTTGGCAGATTTAATTTGTCACACATCTTTCTTCCAATTTGAAGATAAAACTTACTTGCAGGCACGGGGCGTACCGTTGGGTAGCCCCATGTCAGCTATACTCTGCGAATTAGTGTTGCGTAAACTCGAAAACGATATACTCCCATCATTCCAGGAAGACATATTGACTTATGCAATATATGTGGATGATATCTTTATTTTATGGAAGGATAATCGCAGGGTTAACCAATTTATAAATCTGATCAACGACAACTCATATGGATTAACCCTGGAGCTAGAGCAGGAAAGTGGAAATAATGTTAATTTTTTGGATTTATCTATAACTTGCAAAGAAGGGGAAATCAGAACAGACATATACCGGAAACCTACTTATCTTCCTATCGTCATTCCTAGGAACTCTGCAGACCCTGAGTATATAAAAATTGCTGTTTTTCGTTCATGGATAATGAGGGCACACACGCATTGCACTAGCATCTGCGACATGTACAAAGAGTTGGATTATATACGAAACATAGCGATGCATAAGGGATACCGTAGAGCAGTGTTTTTCAACCTTTTTGAATACGCGACCCCTTTACAAGTTAAAAAATTCTGGCAACCCCCCTAGGGCCATATTAAAACTATATCAATGGTTTTAAAAAGTATGTATTTAATTTTCTTTCTGTTGAGACAAATTATTGTTGATTAAAATTAGAGTTTCAGAAGAATCGACAATAACTTAACACACGTAAAGTATTAAACTTTCTTTAATTATAGCATTGGGCTCAGGGAGCTGTTGACGTTTTTTTTTAGGATCAGAATTTTCAGCTTCTACTTTTCTACTTTTTATTTCTTTTTGCAAGTCAGCTCAACACTTTATCGGCTATCATTTTCTGGGGTGGGCCGTATCCACCCAGGCCCCTCCCTGGCTACACCCATGGTTGAGACGTAAATATCGATCAAAAACCAATTGTACTGTAAAATAAACAGGTACAACCTTCTCGCTGAAACTGTAGTTTTTTTAATGTAGTATAGGACCTACAAACACTTGTCTTTTTCTTTTACCCGCGACCCCCCATGTAAGGCTTTGAGACCCACAGGTTGAAAAACCCTGCCGTAGAGAAAGAATAGATGCTCTCATTGCGAATTGTCGGAAGCGCCACTCCTCTCGGAGGAAATCAGCGTAAAGAAAGAGTCGTGTTTAATTACATACCATTCCTCAAAGGAATGGTTAAAAAAATTACCAGAGATAAGAACATACAGATAGTATACAAGCGTAATCCCACCATATACAGGCTCTTAAGGAATGATAAAGGCAGTTATGAACGCAACATGATGGCAGGGGTATACTCAATGCTGTTAAAAGACCGTAGATTTAATTCTAATTTGGTATACATAGGAGCAACCATGAGAAACTTAAAGAAAAGAATTGCTGAACATAAGCACTCGGTAAATAAAAATGTAGACTCTACAGTGCTTGCTGCCTTTGCCAAGCAACAGAATATCGAGGTCTTTTGGGATCGGGCGTCGATCATTAAAGCTACAAGATCCAGGCAGGCCATAAAACATCTGGAAAAACTAGAAATTCACAAGGTGCAGTTGCACACAAACCGTATTAATCATAGGGACGCTGACGGATTGTCATCGGCATGGAAATCCTTCTACGATGAGTTGACGCAGTTTATGTAAGCAGGAAGAATATTTAAGATTATTTTTACTGAATGTATATATTTTATTTTATTTCTTTGTTTCAATTTAATTAACTTGTATAATTTTTGCAATTATTTAAACTTGGTAAATGTTATCGTACATTTATGTAACCGCATTTTGAATTTTGTTTTACATAATTTTGAATTCTTCGTTCAATTCAAAATGATAACTGAGGATGATCGCTTAAAGCGTTCGAAAGCATTTTTAACATATTAAAAAACGATTTGCTGGATTATTTAAAGGTTTTGATTTTATTTATAGTGTAATTCCAGTAAGAAAGTATTTTATTTATTTATTCTTATTAGTAGCTGACAGATTAACCACTGTACCAGATTTCACAACTATACTAAATAAAGGGTTATATGATTTAGTTGTCTCTAGTTTATATGGTTTTATCAATAACTTAGTTTTGCAATTCACATATTGCATTATCACTGTTAATGTTATTGATGAGAATATCAAGTTTATTAGAGATTGCTGTTAGTTTCTGTTCATTAGGGCTCTGCTCTTATATATCTATAACAAACCGGACACATCAAGTGATATATTCTGCATGTCTCTTAGTGTGATGTTTGACGTGAGACATGAGAAGTAATAGCACAAAAGTATGATACACAAAGAATTAACTTTATTTCGCATTTGAACAAAAGTCCCAACTCTGCTACAGTATCCAGATTCTTCAGAATATATATATATATATATGCCTTAATGACCTGGAGCCTTCTTAATTTATCTCTTTCTTCCTTGACGTCCAGCCTAAAAGACTCTGTCCTCTGGTCGGTACTAAATGGGACCCAGAGACCTACCAGTCAATCATCCTCTCTCCTCAATGTCTAGTCCAAAAGTGTCTCAACACCAGGTTTTGCTCTCAGGGCATTTTACTTTCCATTGTTGGTTACCCACACCTTCCAGGAAAGGGTTGGGTGAGAACATTCTAGAAATAGGTAGAACAAAAGGGATAGCAAAGGAATCGAAATGAAATAACATCGACACAAATAACTATACATAACTTATGGCATACTGCCACATTAGTGCCCATCTTTGAGTGTTTGTTAATCAGTTAAGTAGACTTTTAGTTCATCTAAAACCTGAAGAGCAGTGACATGGAGTTCTTCAGAAGTGGTCATAGCATAACTGATCTGAAAATTCTGTTGAACCCGCATGGAAGCCATGGTCAGGGTGAGAAGGAGAGTTAGGAACACCAACCTGGGAGGATGTGAGTGAAGGTGTTGCTTAACAGTGCAGATTATGCTGATTTCAACAATATATAAGGACTCCAGGTAAGGGGCACCAGAAAGTCCACTAAACAGTGTCAATCTGCTGGGCAAAAAGTGCTGACATGGCAATAAAAATACATGTCAACCCAGATGAAAAACAATGCCCTTTGTTCTCCCCAAAACTTTAGGCTCTTATAACTCCACAAATCCCCAACAGAAACAAATGAGATTTTTAAAAGACAAACTCACTTGGTTATGGAGAGTCTTGAACCATCAAGCAAGATGTAATCCACAATTAAAGTCACAAAAAAAGTCCAGCAATAGAAAACAGTAACAACCATTACAAGCTTAACAGCCAACGTAATGGGCAAAGGTCAATGCTGTAAAAATACCAAGCAGTCAATGCTGTAAAAATGTACAAGCAGTCAATGCTGTAAAAATACCAAGTTTTTAAAATCAACCTTATTTTTAAGAATTTGGTACACCAACTCCAACCGCTGAGACAAATCTGAAGGTTCTAAGATTAATGGGATCAGTCAAGATTTCACAGAAAAATTGCAATTTTTCCAGGAGCAAGCTTACACCACACAGATCCAGTTAGAGCTACTAGGGTTGTTCTAATGAGATATACAAATAAAGTGGGATGAGGCCAGAATTGTTAGACCGACTAAGAATCCTAACTATTAGGTTCTTAGAAATGTTGGAAATTTTTAAAACCAACCAGAAATTATTTTGTATCAACCATAGGGATGCAGACACCCTAATTATTTCTCTTAATTATTTCTGTTGAATTTGATATTCTTGTTCTTTTATTTTAAATGGTGTAATTCACTGAGGAAGGCCTATTGTATTAGGTTGAAAATGTGATTTATTCAATCAATTGATGGAGTACAAGGTGATCTGTTTCATTACTGTTTTTTATTCTCCAGTTAGATCTTATTTATTTATGTATTATTATATTTTTAATTTTTATTATTTAACTTGTTTAGAAAGACTAATTATAAATATTTTTAAGTGATAATGATATTTATTTCATTAATGAATTTTTTTTTATTTTCAGATATACCAAATTGAGCCAGATGTAACTTATTGATCACTGCCATAACCATTCTAAAAGTTCTATCCTCTTATAATTTTCCAACTTGTTCTATTTTTTTGGATATCATACTCCTAATGCCATTGTGTTCTAGGCAACCATCTTTAACTGGGAGGCAGAATTGTAGTTCATGGGAAATGAGCAAACAATCAAGTATGTTTTTCACAGTCGAAGTTGGTGATACAAAATTCACCATACTTAAAAGATATCAGAATTTGAAACCTATTGGATCTGGTGCTCAAGGAATTGTATGGTAATAATGAAAGATAACATATTTGATGACATTTTAATGTTAAAATTTATTATTTTCAAATGTAATTATCTATTAAAAAGGATGAAGAAATGTTACCAAACCTTAAAATTGATGATTGTTTTTTCCAACTGTCAACTTGTTTCAATTTCTCTCAGTACAGTGTTATCAATAGTATCATTAAATGATAATCAAACATCATTACTATCAAACATCATTAAATGATTTTTATTTTGAGTAATAATCTTTAAAATCATCTAATTTACTGAAAATTACATTTGAATATTATTTTTATTTTGTGTGAAATAATATAATAATCAGTTAAATATGTAAGAAATTAAGAGATTATAGCAACTTTTTTATAAGTTATCATTAGTCTTGGATATTTTTATTGTGTTTTTGGAGAAGTCAATATTTTTGCAATGAAGAAATGACATTCTATATAAACTGTCCTGCATAAATAAAGTAGACCGAATGCTACAGTAGTATTTTTTTGAAGTAAGAATTTACAGTACAACATATTTGTGGAATTTAAGTTTTTTATACAATTATTTTTGTGGTTTTTTTAATTAAATTTTAATACAAAGTTTTTTTTTACACTAGTCTATTATTTTAAAAATTATTTTCTTTTAATCAGTTCACAATAATAATACTATTGCAAATTGTTTTTTATGAACTATCATTTATTAATATGACACTACTAAAAAACTGGATATGATACTTTAAAAATAAACACAATAAAACCAAAAATTTCTTAATTTCCTCACACACAGGATTGAATATAAAATTGACTTACTTAAACCAAATAACCGGAGCATTTGTTCTATTATTGCAAACATTTTTGATGCCCTCTCTGGACTCTTCCTCAGGCTTCTATGTATATTCGTTCCAAGCTGTTTGGAACGAATATACATAGAAGCCTGAGGGGCGTTGAAAATGTTCGCAATAATAGAACAAATGCTCCGGTTATTTGGTTTAAGTAAGTCAATTTTACAAAAAATTCCCAGCAAGAAGTAACTTTAGTAAATTAAAATAAACATTTTTGATATTAAACCAGCATTGTTAGGATTGGTTACAATAGAACATAAGAAGGAAGATAGAACAAAATTTTCAAATTTGAGAGAGATATTGAATAACAAAGTTCCAAGGATACATTTCTTTGATTAAATCAAATTTTGACCATACAAATAAATTTGGGTCGGTAGAAACTTTGATTTAATCAAAGAAATTTATCCTTGGAATTCTGTTATTCATGTAGATATGCTAATTATGATGATCTCCTAGTTTTCCACCAGAGGTCTGCAGATGTGTATAAATACAACTGATTTGTACCTGAATGATATTGTGCAGAATTTTAATGCTGTGTCGTTGACGTCTGATCCTCCAAGAAAAGCTCAGCATCAATTGTATATTGTATGTATTTTTTAATGTCATTTCATCGGTTTTTAAGTTGCTAACCATCTGTCTTTAGCTGGATTATTAAAAAAAAAGGATTATTTTGTTCTGGCCCAAATTTATTTGTGTGGTCAAAATTTGATTTAATTGAGAGAGATATTGTTCCATTGGTCTGAGATGAGCCATGTTATTGTGTTGGATAAAATTTTTTTAAATAATGATAGTTTAGAAGTGTATTTCAAATAATAATCTCCAAGCTGTAGAGAAGGACTCTGCTTCTCTATAATTTGATTACGTTCCTTCCACTAGGAACATAATCAAATTATAGAGCAAATCAAATCCTGTTAGAGATTGGATGATTTTAAAACATCTTAAAAATTAGATGTTTTAAAGTCATCCAATCTCTAACAGGATTTAGTATGCAGACCTAGAAACACAAGTGTTTCTAGTGTCACACAATTAGACACTAGAAACACAAGTGTTTCTAGGTCTAATTTTTAATAATTTTTTTTTTTTTTTTAATAATCCAGCTAAAGACAGATGGTTAACAACTTAAAAACCAATGAAATGACATTAAAAAATACACACAATATACAATTGACACCAACCTTTTCAGAAGCAAACTTAGCCAGCATAGTGGATGGTACTGTACATCCCTTTGACCGAATATATATACTCCTTAATATATCGATCCAAGGAATATGCATGGATCTTATGTATACCTAACCTTTGTGACTCTGCTGTCAGTAATTGGGATGGGATAGACCCCAGGTAGAAGTTTCTAGTCCACAAAATCCTTTATGGTGTATATCAAAGGATTCCTTTTGTAAGCAATATTGGTGTTATCAGCTCTTGCCATTTGTTTGTAGATATTGGAGAGATGATGGTTGTATCTCACCACCTGATATGCTTTGTAGTTGTCTTTCTTCGTTTAATTACCTAAGAAGACAGTTATTGATGAGACCTTTTGAGGCTTGGTCAGTAACCATGCTTCTTCACTACATGTGTGATACAAGTTCTATTTCTCTATTCTGAATATTGGATGAATGTGTAAACTCTTTTAACTAGTTCTCTAAATGCCTCTGTTTTGAACAGTTACAGATTCTGAGATTCAATTGGGATAAAGAAAGGTTTGTATTCTAATTTTTTGTATACTCGGGTAATGATGCAGCTCCTATGAAATGTCAATTTGATGTCTAAGAAGTGAGCTGAATGGTTACTTTGTTGCTCCAGATGGAGGTGTAGGCTATATGGATTATAATAGATAGATACTAAGAAAAGTGGCAAATCCTGTTTGTCAGCAAATTATGATCACATCATTGAGGAGTTGAGTGTACAAAATGATTTGCTCCTCAAAACTTGGGAGAATATCCTCCTCAAGACAATGTGTTAGGTAAAATTTTTTAAAATAATGATAGTTTAAAAGTGTATTTCAAATAATAATCTTACCAGTTCACATAAGTTGCCAGAAAGCAAGCTCATTACGATACCTTTGCCTTGAAGGTAAGTCATAGCCATGAATTGAAAGAACAAGGAATGATGTACAAGATTGGCAATTCCAAGATGTTGGTGTAGTGCTAATTTGTATGTAATTACCTTATAGTACAGTATCAGGCTACAGACAAAATAATTCGAAAACTATTTTAATTTCATATGTTACATAGGTTCAGATGTTGCACTACTGGGTGAACATAGAATCAATACATGTGTGAACCTGGCAAAGTTCAAACCCAAAAGTTGAGATTATAGTGTCAGGTTGCCAGGTCCGTTAAGTTCAGAGTTCCTCCTGGTGATGACTTTTGGATTTATGACCAAAGCTGTCACCACAGTTGATATAATGTTTTCCTGTGTTTAGATCTCTAATATATCGGAATATATTGAGTCTGGGTGTATGTTATTCAAATTAAGGTCTGTACAATTCTACTTAGAACAAATTGATGATTTTAATAACAACTAAGGATCAGTGCCAACTATCAGTATGGCTGACGAGGTACAAATGTACTACAGTTAGTGATGACACGATATAGTTCTAATGACAAACATTAATTTTTAAACTTATTACTAAAATACTAAACTAATTTGCATTAAATCTACATACAGTTATTTACAAGACGATAAACATGTGCTGCCACAACTTTCCTTTGTTCTTCCATTAGATGAACTTCCAAATCTCACCGACAGTTCATGACTCTCCACTAGTGCACTTTCTATATGTAGACATATCTCATATATATCTATAATATCTTTACAATATCAATATTACTTGGGTCCGTTAAGTATAAATTGCCCGTACATGCACACCACAAAGTTGTTAATGATCAGTTCTTAAGGATGGAAACGGATTACAGTACAGTACTACCACTCGATGTGTTCAATCCTTGGCTGCCTCTTCTATCTCCTGTTACCAGATGAATTATATTGGAACGCGAAGCAAAACCAAAAAAGATCTCTCAACACATGAGATGGTCCAATTTATACTCCCCCCCCTCATTCATGAATGCTCTCTTAACACGTGACCCTGTTCTTGACCAATTAGTCTACACCAGTTGGTGTAGCAAGAAATGTGATACAGCATAATATTCCGCGGACAATTATACAAAAAGTAGATCCTGACACGTGGTAATGGAAGATAATTTATATACACAAATTATATTAATATTTAAGCATACATAAATCAACAATAATAAAGTAGCGCAGCACTACACCTGCCTCTTGGACATGTTCAAAAGAAATTCTGTAATTGACAAAAGCATAGCACAGTTTTGATGGAAGGAGAGTGGGCTTCAAAATTACCCAGGGAAATGTATGGATCTTATTCATCACCAAAAAGATTTTCAATGTCTGATAGGAAGCTCGCTGGGTGATGGAGCATACATAGGGCCAAATTTGGTAATCTGAAATAGCTGTTTGGAAGAATAGAGATTATCCCAATGAATAATTCCAGCATTAAACTTTCTTGAAATACTTTATTGGATATGCAACAAGCCTCTATCTTGGCTCCTTTGACTTCAAAAATGCTTGCATTCATCAAAACTCACAAACCAGGCATCAGACTGTCTGGTGGTAGACAAATCAGCAAAAAAAATTGAGAGAATCCTCAATTATTTCATCACCTCCAATCATGGCAGCTATCAGTTATCAATACTGTCTGGGCCAGCCGCTTTACTTGACCTTGCCTCTCTCTAGATATGGATATTTCTTATGAAGAATCTAGTTCTTCATGAGAAATATCCATATCTAGATAACTTACAGATATTGTCTTTAAACAAACAATTTCATTAACTAGATTATCACTGAACAATAAACTTTTGAAGTGCATAAACAAATCAGTTTTAATCTCCTCCGAAATACAGAGTTTTCTCCTACCTTCCAGTTTACGAATACACTCCCAGAACATTTGAATAGACTTACAGTTTGAAAGGAGTTGATTAAAACTAATCAGATATTCTTGCTTTTTACTTTTACAAAGCGCTCTGAAATTTTGCTTCAATAACAGATATTCTTCTAATCTTCAGTTCTTTCCAAGTCTCCTCCATTTCCTCAACTTATTTTTCAAATTAACCTTTTGTTCCAAACACTCATTGTCAAACTGAATTATATATAGAGAA